CTACTGTACACTGCCAGGCTACTTTATACTGCCAGGCTACTGTACACTGCCAGGCTACTTTACACTGCCAGGCTACTGTACACTGCCAGGCTACTGTACACTGCCAGGCTACTTTACACTGCCAGGCTACTGTACACTGCCAGGCTACTGTACACTGCCAGGCTACTGTACACTGCCTGGCTACTTTACACTGCCAGGCTACTGTACACTGCCTGGCTACTGTACACTGCCAGGCTACTGTACACTGCCAGGCTACTTTACACTGCCAGGCTACTGTACACTGCCAGGCTACTGTACACTGCCAGGCTACAGTACACTGCCAGGCTACTGAACACTGTAGCTGTAAAAGCTACTGAACACTGTAAAAGTGGAGATGGAGTAAATAGATGTCCTGGTGTGGGCACGGTGGTGTAGTGCTGGTGTGGGCACGGTGGTGTAGTGCTGGTGTGGGCACGGTGGTGTAGTGCTGGTGTGGGCACGGTGGTGTAGTGCTGGTGTGGGCACGGAGGTGTAGTGCTGGTGTGGGCACGGTGGTGTAGTGCTGGTGTGGGCACGGTGGTGTAGTGCTGGTGTGGGCACGGTGGTGTAGTGCTGGTGTGGGCACGGTGGTGTAGTGCTGGTGTGGGCACGGAGGTGTAGTGCTGGTGTGGGCACGGTGGTGTAGTGCTGGTGTGGGCACGGTGGTGTAGTGCTGGTGTGGGCACGGTGGTGTAGTGCTGGTGTGGGCACGGTGGTGTAGTGCTGGTGTGGGCACGGAGGTGTAGTGCTGGTGTGGGCACGGAGGTGTAGTGCTGGTGTGGGCACGGTGGTGTAGTGCTGGTGTGGGCACGGTGGTGTAGTGCTGGTGTGGGCACGGTGGTGTAGTGCTGGTGTGGGCACGGTGGTGTAGTGCTGGTGTGGGCACGGTGGTGTAGTGCTGGTGTGGGCACGGTGGTGTAGTGACTTGTGAGGAGTTACTCTCTCATGGTACAGTAACTGCTGCTGTTGTCTCGCTTGGTAAACGTTGTAATATAGTGTATTATGAGGACTGGCCTCAGTCTCCCACTTCCCTCTTCCTGGTTGGCCGACCTCAGTACAGTGTTTGGTAAACCAGTAATTGAGGTACACACAGAAGGTCCTTGCTATAGTCATCTGTGGAGACCTGTAAATATTACTTTACGCCTCCATTAATTATGGTGATTATAATGTATCAGTTAACATAAGTACAATGCATCAGTTAACATAAGTACAATGCATCAGTTAACATAAGTACAATGCATCAGTTAACATAAGTTCAATGTATCAGTTAACATAAGTACAATGTATCAGTTAACATAAGTACAATGCATCAGTTAACATAAGTACAATGCATCAGTTAACATAAGTACAATGTATCAGTTAACATAAGTTCAATGTATCAGTTAACATAAGTACAATGTATCAGTTAACATAAGTTCAATGTATCAGTTAACATAAGTACAATGTATCAGTTAACATAAGTACAATGTATCAGTTAACATAAGTACAATGCATCAGTTAACATAAGTACAATGCATCAGTTAACATAAGTACAATGCATCAGTTAACATAAGTTCAATGTATCAGTTAACATAAGTACAATGTATCAGTTAACATAAGTTCAATGTATCAGTTAACATAAGTACAATGTATCAGTTAACATAAGTACAATGCATCAGTTAACATAAGTACAATGCATCAGTTAACATAAGTTCAATGTATCAGTTAACATAAGTACAATGTATCAGTTAACATAAGTACAATGCATCAGTTAACATAAGTACAATGTATCAGTTAACATAAGTACAATGTATCAGTTAACATAAGTACAATGTATCAGTTAACATAAGTACAATGCATCAGTTAACATAAGTACAATGCATCAGTTAACATAAGTACAATGTATCAGTTAACATAAGTACAATGTATCAGTTAACATAAGTACAATGTATCAGTTAGCATTAGTACAATGCATCAGTTAACATAAGTACAATGTATCAGTTGACATAAGTACAATGTATCAGTTAGCATAAGTACAATGTATCAGTTAGCATTAGTACAATGCATCAGTTAACATAAGAACAATGTATCAGTTAACATAAGTACAATGTATCAGTTAACATATGTACAATGTATCAGTTAGCATTAGTACAATGTATCAGTTAGCATTAGTACAATGTATCAGTTAACATAAGTACAATGTATCAGTTAACATAAGTACAATGTATCAGTTAACATAAGTACAATGCATCAGTTAACATAAGTACAATGCATCAGTTAACATAAGTACAATGCATCAGTTAACATAAGTACAATGCATCAGTTAACATAAGTACATGCATCAGTTAACATAAGTATAATGCATCAGTTAACATAAGTACAATGCATCAGTTAACATAAGTACAATGCATCAGTTAACATAAGTACAATGCATCAGTTACATAAGTATAATGCATCAGTTAACATAAGTACAATGCATCAGTTAACATACGTACAATGTATCAGTTAGCATTAGTACAATGCATCAGTTTTACCGCACTAGACGAGTGAGGAAACTTATAGTCATTAAGAAGCGACCTCACGGACTCTCACAGAAGCCTAGACACATTACTACACATTTTTTTGATATTAAAGACTTTTTGAGCACCAAGATATATTCCAGAGGACTAGTGCCTTAATGGTGAAGAACTGCGTGAAACTGGCCAAGTGACGCATCGGCCATTTAAAGCCACTTCTTCAAACACTTAAAAATCCAATATGCAAAATAGTTACCTGGATGTTGTAACATCAATTGTAGACAACATTATTAATGCAAAGAGCAGGAGCTTCAGAGTCTCATTTGTAAAGATATCATCTGCCATAGGTGTTGTCCAGCACGATGACACAGACAAGGCAGCTAGGAGTTGGGTGGTGACCGCCGGCAACCCGTTCTCGCACTTGCTTATAGTCAATATTTGGCATATGAATAAGAGCATTTGTGACATACTTATTTATTGTGAATATTTGAGTTTTCCTTGAAATGCTGAATACAAAACACTGACCTAACCTAACCTTCTTAGTATGTTAAGATATTACAAGTAGTACTGAACTTATACCTATATTGATATTACAGTTTTATAACAATAATAAAACAAAACTAAAATATTTAAATAAATTGTAAAGTAACTCAGGATATTGTCAAATTTTGTATAACATCTCTATTGTTTAATAAAACTGAGAAGAAGTCAGTGCCTTGGAAAAAAACATGACTTGGAATATGTCACATATATACTTATTTATAAGCGAATTAGTGACTATAAGCAATAAGTCCTATGTGCTATATATATATATATATATATATATATATATATATATATATATATATATATATATATATATATATATATATATATATATATATATATATATATATATATATATATATATATATATATATATATATATATATATATATATATATATATATATATATATATATATATATATATATATATATTATATTTATATATATATTGTATTTATATATAGAAGAGTTCTTATATTCTTGTAAAGTCACTAGCACGCATAGGATTTCGGGCAAGTCCTTAATCCAAATTTAATTTTCCCCGGAATACGACCCCCCAAATCGATTAACAACCAGTTTTCCATTCACTGCTGGGTGAACAGAGGCTTCAGGAATATTTAAGGATTGTCGCCAAGTAAATCTTCCCTGGCCAGGTTACGAACTCAGGACCAAAGAGCTCACGGAACGTCCGGCGAGTGTGTTACCACTCCAGCGTGAGTGTACAACTAATTATCCACTCCGTCAAGCAGTCTCTGGTGAACAATAGGACAGTATGGGGCGCTAGGACGGTGGGGCTCCTTGTAAGTGAGGGGGTCATACTGAACTGTAACAGTGTTAAGCTGGGGTATTGAGTGAAGAAGAAGGAGGGTAAGAAAGATTCATATCAAAGATAAACATTCAGTCGCATTACAATGGTGGCAGCGGTGGGATACTTGAAATTCTTGAAGGTTGAGTCAGGTATCGAAGGGGACAAAGGCGCCTCTATAGTGGACTACCCGAGGCTAGTGTAGCTCCGAGCAATGTTTACAAAACTGATAATTATATTAAACCCTCTCTCCTCCAAGATAAAAAGGTAGGGACATTTGACTCGCCTGGTATGGAGGGAGGAACCGGTGAGAGGGGAAATGAGGGAATTGAGAGATGGATGGAGAGGGAAATCTGAGAGGGGAGAATTGAGTGGGGAGCATAGGTACCACGAGCTAGCACGACCACCCTCAGGTCAACCTCTTGGCCCTTGACAAATGGGCGAAGGGGGGGGGGGGGTGATCAGCCGTTACACCCTGAGCAACTACCCAGGGGGCCCCTAGGCAAATATCCGGGGCGGGCCCCTAGGGAACTACCCCGGAGCCCCTGGGCAACTAACCGAGGGGCCCTTGGGCAACTACCCGGGGGGTCCCTGGGCAGCTACCCGGGGGGTCCCTGGGCAACTACCCGGGGGGTCCCTGGGCAACTACCCGGGGGGTCCCTGGACAACTACCCGGGGGGTCCCTGGGCAACTACCCGGGGGTCCCTGGGCAACTACCTGGGGGTCCCCTGGGCAACTACCTGGGGGGTCCCTGGGCAACTACCCGGGGGGTCCCTAGGGCGACTACCCGGGGGGTCCCCTGGGCGACTACCTGGGGGGTCCCTGGGCAACTACCCGGGGGGTCCCTGGGCAACTACCCGGGGGGTCCCTAGGGCGACTACCCGGGGGGTCCCTGGGCGACTACCTGGGGGGTCCCCTGGGCACCTACCCGGGGGGTCCCTGGGCAACTACCCGGGGGGTCCCTGGGCAACTACCCGGGGGGTCCCTGGGCAACTACCCGGGGGGTCCCCTGGGCAACTACCCGGGGGGGTCCCTGGGCAACTACCCGGGGGGTCCCCTGGGCAACTACCCGGGGGGTCCCCTGGGCAACTACCCGGGGGGGTGGGGAGCTACACCCCCGCCCTCTATACACCCATGAGCTACACCCCCGCCCTCTATACTCCCATGAGCTACACCCCCGCCCTCTATACACCCATGAGCTACACCCCCGCCCTCTATACACCCATGAGCTACACCCCCGCCCTCTATACACCCATGAGCTACACCCCCGCCCTCTATGCTCCCATGAGCTACACCCCCGCCCTCTATACACCCATGAGCTACACCCCCGCCCTCTATACACCCATGAGCTACACCCCCGCCCTCTATACACCCATGAGCTACACCCCCGCCCTCTATGCTCCCATGAGCTACACCCCCGCCCTCTATACACCCATGAGCTACACCCCCGCCCTCTATACACCCATGAGCTACACCCCCGCCCTCTATACACCCATGAGTTCATACAAGCCTCGTGGAGAGCGTTAGAGCCAGGTGTAGGTACAGGTGTGATACGCTTGGCCCCACACCTGTAAACTAGGCCACCATCCCCCCTCCCCACGCCACACACACACACACACACATACACCGATATACTATGGCGATATACTAAAGAAATTGTTCACGACTTTTGTTAGGCCAAAGCTAGAATATGCAGCGGTTGTGTCGTGCCCATATCTTAAGAAGCACATCAACAAACTGGAAAAGGTGCAAAGACATGCTACTAAGTGGCTCCCGGAACTGAAGGGCAAGAGCTACGAGGAGAGGTTAGAAGCATTAAATATGCCAAAACTAGAAGAGAGAAGAAAAAGAGGTGATATGATCACTACATACAAAATAGTAACAGGAATTGATAAAATCAATTAATAAATTTTATTTTATCAATTTTATTTTATAAAATAAAATTGATAAAATATATAAGGAAGATTTCCTGAGACCTGGAACTTTAAGACCAAGAGGTCATAGATATAAACTAGCTAAACACAGATGCCGAAGAAATATAAGAAAATTCACTTTCGCAAACAGAGTGGTAGACGGTTGGAACAAGTTAGGGGAGAAGGTTACCTACCTACCTTGAGGCTACCTTGAGGTGCTTCCGGGGCTTAGTGTCCCCGCGGCCCGGTCGTCGACCAGGCCTCCTGGTTGCTGGACTGATCAACCAGGCTGTTAGACGCGGCTGCTCGCAGCCTGACGTATGAGTCACAGCCTGGTTGATCAGGTATCCTTTGGAGGTGCTTATCCAGTTCTCTCTTGAACACTGTGAGGGGTTTGCCAGTTATGCCCCTTATGTGTAGTGGAAGCGTGTTGAACAGTCTCGGGCCTCTGATGTTGATAGAGTTCTCTCTCAGAGTACCTGTTGCACCTCTGCTTTTCAACGGGGGTATTCTGCGCATCCTGCCATGTCTTCTGGTCTCATGTGGTGTTATTTCTGTGTGCAGGTTTGGGACCAGCCCCTCAATTATTTTCCACGTGTAAATTATTATGTATCTCTCCCGCCTGCGCTCAAGGGAGTACAGATTTAGGCTCTTTAGTCGGTCCCAGTAATTTAGATGTTTTACTGAGTGGATTCTAGCAGTAAAGGATCTCTGCACGCTCTCTAGGTCAGCAATTTCTCCAGCTTTGAAAGGGGCTGTTATTGTGCAGCAGTACTCCACTCTAGAGAGCACAAGCGTTTTGAAAAGTATCATCATCGGTATAGCATCTCTAGTGTGAAAAGTTCTTGTTATCCAACCTGTCATTTTTCTTGCAGTTGTGACGGCTACTTTATTGTGTTCTTTAAAGGTAAGGTCTTCCGACATGAGTACACCCAGGTCCTTTACATTGCCTTTTCGTTCTATGTTATGATTTGCCTGAGTTTTGTACGTGGTTTCTGTTTTTATATTTTCAATTTTTCCGTAGCGCATGAGCTGAAACTTATCCTCGTTGAACACCATATTATTTTCTGTAGCCCATAGAAAGACCTGATCTACATCTGATTGGAGGTTTGCCGTGTCCTCTATGTTGCCAACTCTCATGAAAATCCTAGTGTCATCTGCAAAGGATGATACAGTGCTATAGGTTGTGTTCTGGTCTATGTCCGATATGAGGATGAGAAAAAGTACTGGAGCAAGCACAGTACCCTGGGGGACTGAGCTCTTCACGGTTGATGGGCTGGATTTTATTTTGTTGACTATTACACATTGGGTTCTGTCAGTCAGGAAATTGTAGATCCATCTGCCTATTTTCCCGGTAATTCCTTTTGAACGCATTTTATGCGCAATAACTCCATGGTCACATTTATCAAAAGCTTTTGCGAAATCTGTGTAAATTACATCAGCGTTTTGTTTGTCTTCCATAGCATCTAATGCCATATCATAGTGGTCCAGCAACTGCGACAGGCAAGAGCGCCCTGTTCTGAAACCATGTTGTCCGGGGTTATGGAGATGCTGTGATTCCATGTATTTTGTGATCTTACTTCTTAGCACTCTCTCAAAATTTTTTATGATGTGCGATGTTAGTGCTATCGGTCTGTAATTTTTTGCCTCTGCCTTATTTCCTCCTTTGTGGAGTGGTGCTATCTCTGCTGTTTTTAGTATGTCAGGGATAACGCCAGTATCTAGGCTTTGTCTCCACAGGATGTGAAGGGCCTGCGATAGTGGTTTTTTACAGTTCTTGATGAATATGGAGTTCCAAGAATCCGGGCCTGGTGCAGAGTGCATAGGCATACTGTTTATGGCTTCTTCAAAATCTAGTGGGGATAGGGCGACGTCTGATATATGATTTGATGTTGGTATCATATCCATGAAAAATTCATTTGGGTTATCAATCTTTAGTGCATTTAATGGCTCACTGAAAACGGAGTCGTACTGCTTCCTCAGTAATTCGCTCATTTCTTTGTTGTCATCTGTGAAAGTTCCATCTCCCTTTCGCAGGGGCCCGATACTAGATGTGGTTTTTGATCTTGATTTTGCATAGGAGAAAAAATATTTCGGATTTCTCTCTATTTCACTGATGGCCTTTTGCTCTCTTTGCCTCTCCTGGGTTTTGTATGATTCTTGTAGCTTGAGTTCAATTGTTTCTATTTCTCTACCTAACCTTCTTCGCCGTTCTTGAGATAGGGTGTGACTCTCAAGTTGTTCCGCGATTCGTTTTCTTCGCCTATATAGGGAACGACGTTCCCGTTCCAATCTGCATCTCTTTCTCTTTTTTCTTAGAGGTATGCGGTTTGAACATATTTCTAGTGCTACTGAGCTTATTTTTTCCAGGCACTGGTTCAGATTTGCATTTCCAAGCTCTTCTACCCAGTTTATTTCTGTGAAGTCCTGGTTTATTTGCTCCCAGTTTATCCGTTTATTATTGAAGTTGAATTTGCTGAAATCTCCTCCACCGGGAATCTGGACTGGTTTTGAAGGTCCATTCCCCATGGTTGTCAGAACTTCAATTAAGTTGTGATCTGAGTAACAGGTATTTGTAATCATTATGTTCCCGATCAACTCACCATTATTAGTGAAAATGAGGTCCAGCGTGTTCTCCTTCCTAGTTGGTTCTACTATTTGCTGGTTTAAGGCAAACCTATCGCACATCCGTAGCAGGTCATTTGCATGTGCCTGTTCATTTAGGCTACTTCCTGGTATTCTTTCTGATATTACTGTATTAGCCAGGTGCTTCCATTTCAGGTGCCGTAGGTTGAAGTCCCCAAGCAGGATTATGTTCGGAGCTGGATTTGTGAGGTTTTCCAAGCAGTGTTCTATTTTCATTAGTTGGTCTTTAAACTGCTGAGGGTTTGCCTCCGGTGACTTATATACAAGGACAACAACTACATTTAGGATCTGTATTTTGATCTAAGGTGGTGGAGGCCAAGACCGTCAGTAGTTTCAAAGCGTTATATGACAAAGAGTGCTGGGAAGATGGGACACCACGGGCGTAGCTCTCATCCTGTAACTACACTTAGGTAATTACACTTAGGTAATTATACACCGCCACCCATGAGTTAATTACAGAGTGTGCGTAACATATCCCGGCGTTATACACACACATACACACCATACACGCGTGTCCCTACACTGTGTCAACAGGTTATACAAGTCTCGAATTTGTAGGAAAATGTAGAAGTAGTGGTGGCGGGCGAGGAGCCGGGCCGCGGCTGCATACATGGTGATCAGTTAGTTTATTAGTGGCTATGGCGGCCGTGGCCCTCCTGCTGGCTGTTGTGGAGATGTTATGGCGTTACATAACGGGAACCCAACCCCGCACTTGTGTTGCTACGACGCAACACTCATCAACATGCTACACAGCGTCTTAGCAACACATACTGCAACAGTGTATTGACAGTGTGTGACAGTCTAGAGCAGTAACTGTTGACCAACTGTGTGACTCAGGCCACTAGCTTATTGTGCTTCACCACAATGGTGATACGTCTTAAGTGTTCCCGGTGCTGAATACACTGTATCCCTGTGTCTATGTGTGTTTGTTCATGTGTGTGTTTGTTCATGTGTGTGTTTGTTCATGTGTGTGTTTGTTCATGTGTGTGTTTGTTCATGTGTGTGTTTGTTCATGTGTCTCTGTATTTGTTCATGTTCATGTGTGTGTGTCTTTGTTCATGTGCATGTGTCTTTGATCATGTGCATGTGTCTTTGTTCATGTGCATGTGTCTTTGTTCATGTGTGTGTGTGTCTTTGTTCATGTGTGTGTGTGTCTTTGTTCATGTGTGTGTGTCTTTGTTCATGTGCATGTGTCTTTGTTCATGTGCATGTGTCTTTGTTCATGTGCATGTGTCTTTGTTCATGTGTGTGTGTGTCTTTGTTCATGTGTGTGTCTGTGTCTTTGTTCATGTGTGTGTGTGTCTTTGTTCATGTGTGTGTGTGTCTTTGTTCATGTGTGTGTGTGTCTTTGTTCATGTGTCTCTGTCTTTGTTCATGTGTGTGTGTCTTTGTTCATGTGTCTGTGTCTTTGTTCATGTGTCTCTGTCTTTGTTCATGTGTCTCTGTCTTTGTTCATGTGTGTGTGTCTTTGTTCATGTGTGTGTGTCTCTTTGTTCATGTGTGTGTGTCTTTGTTCATGTGCATGTGTCTTTGTTCATGTGCATGTGTCTTTGTTCATGTGTGTGTGTGTCTTTGTTCATGTGTGTGTGTGTGTGTCTTTGTTCATGTGTGTGTGTCTTTGTTCATGTGCATGTGTCTTTGTTCATGTGCATGTGTCTTTGTTCATGTGCATGTGTCTTTGTTCATGTGTGTGTGTGTCTTTGTTCATGTGTGTGTGTGTCTTTGTTCATGTGTGTGTGTCTTTGTTCATGTGCATGTGTCTTTGTTCATGTGCATGTGTCTTTGTTCATGTGCATGTGTCTTTGTTCATGTGTGTGTGTATCTTTGTTCATGTGTGTGTGTCTGTGTCTTTGTTCATGTGTGTGTGTGTCTTTGTTCATGTGTGTGTGTGTCTTTGTTCATGTGTGTGTGTGTCTTTGTTCATGTGTCTCTGTCTTTGTTCATGTGTGTGTGTCTTTGTTCATGTGT